AATAGGTATCATATGCCCTACCAGAATCCAGACTCTGAGGGTTTGGGTTGCTGAAGCCCTCCATTTTACATCCTAGTTTAGCGTTTAGGGTGTAAGGTTTGGGGTTTAGGGTTTAGGTTTTAGGTTTGGGGTTTAGCATGTTTGGCTTGGGGTTTGAGTTGGGGTGTAAGGTTTCAGAGTGTTCGGCTTGGTTTCAGTTGAGGAGTTAGGGGCATTATGGTTTAGGGTTTAGGGTTTTCGGGTTCAGGGTTTGGAGTTCAGGAACTAGGGTTTGGGTTGAGGATCTAGGTTTCAGGGTTCAGGGTTTGGGGTTAAGGATTTAAGGTTGAGGGAGTAGGGTATGGGAGGTCGTTCAGGGATCCGTCATGTGGGTTTCGTGTCATCTCTGAGTCCTAAATTTAGGGTCTAGGGTGGATTCCTACAAGTTGTTTCTATTCCATCTGAGCTCTTCATATACCGCACAGCCGCATAACTATCCAAAACCAAGAACACTACATCTGGAACCCTAAGCCCTGAACCCTAAACGCAGAAACCTAACCCTAAACCCTAAAAGTCCTTAGCCCTAAACCGGAAACCCTGAACCCTCTAAACCCTGAAACCTTTCGGTTCCATGGGAAGGCGAGAGACACCCAGGGCCTAGGTCTTTTACCCCGCAGTAAGAGCATGCTAGAAATACTAGTCCTCAAAGCGGGACCCCGGAGTTTGATCCAGCCTACAACCACCTAAACCCCAAAAGTATGTCGAATAGTGCTCCTACTCCCTACCCATCCCCCTTGGCTTACTGGTGCTTCAGGGAGAGTGGGGGAGCGGATCCTCAGAATGCCCCCCAGACACTCCACATATATATATATATATGTATATATATATATATGCCCCCATTATAGTGGTACCTATATTCACCCCCGCTCCCCGCCTTTTAGCACCAGTAACTACATTGCTTGTAAACCCTCAAGCCCAAACCCTCGCCCCGAAGCCCTGAACCCTAACCCCCCCCCCATAAACCGTAAACTCTAACCCCTAGACTCTAAACCCTAAATCCCTGAATTACCGCTTAAGCACCAGCAGGTTGAAAGGAATCCATCGCCAGGTTCAGCCTCTGGATGGTACTGTCAAACGACTGCCCAAGTAGTTCTGGCCGCGCCTGGTGAAGAACGGGTAATCAACTCCCGCATTCGGTATTAATAGTAGCGTAGTAATCAAAGTAATAATAGTAATAGCAATGGCGATAGTACTGATGGTAGGAAAAGTAATAAATAGTGATTCATGCAAGGGAGAGGTTTATGGGGTTACATAGAGCGCATATACAAACAATAACACCGCAATGATGGCGAATCAAATCAGCACTTGGAGGTGTGGGAATTACTGTAGGGCAATTGCCGCGTGGATGGCGCGCTGCGGCTGTGATTATGTACCAATGATTCTCTGCCAGTGTCGGAGTGGAGCATTTGCAGTTCCAAGTACTGTACAATTCACTTGAGATTTGCGCGAGAAGCTGTAAATTACTATATAATATAGCAGAGAATCAAGTGGACAATGAAATGGAAAGGGTTTATGTAGGGGTTTATAGTGAGTGCTTGTCAAAATTAGGGCAACATTTCTGGGTTCCCCACTAGTGCCCAATTTTGAGAAACACCCAAACCTCTAAACCCTAACCCAAGTTTCCATTTGATGTCCCCTGTTTGTTCCTTCTCTGCCCGCGACTCATCACAGCTTGGGGTTCGTTGACGTAGCCCGCGACAGCCAATGCGCCATGAGCTGCCTATCGAAATGCTCGGGTCGGTAATGCTTTCCGGCTTGAATGTTCTCTGCAGTGCACTTGCGGAGCGCGACGATATTCATTCCCCAATCCATGGTGCAAAGGTCTCCATCTCCTGGCATCACTGTCATCTGAGCGTTCCCAATCTCGTAGCGCATGAGGACCTGCTTGATCTGCTCCAACTTGCTTACCAATGAGACCTCCTCAGCCGTAGCGTTTCCCGTATCCGTGATGCTTTTCGCTGCGCTCTGCCGGGACAGTGATGGCCAGGCGTCTCCACCCATGCTCTCGAGGATGTAAAGTCCCCCTGGCTTGAGAGAACGCCAGAGTCCGAAGAGACAGGTGATCCTCCGATGTGACGGCTGCGAGCCGTCATCCACAATCACGTCCCATGGACCTCGACTGAGTATGTGCTGTAGAGTATCCATGTTGCCATCTTCGCCGGTATAGATGCTGACGGCAGGGCTGCGAAACTGCATGAAGGAGGCACTTGGTGCCTTGCCATCACGCTGAACTCCAAGGAGTTCGCTCGGCTGGTCGAAATAGGAGTCCCAGAGCCTCATTGTGAGCCCAACTTGCTTGCCAAGCTCTGCCACTTTCACGCCTGGCAGGGATCGGAAGTGGCTTAGCCATCTTCCATAATCTCTCTCGTATAGACGTCGGGTCCACTCTGGCGATTGCAGCTCACGGAGCTTGCACGCAAAGATCTCATCCTCAGATGATGTGCATGTCGGTATCGAGTTGTCGGGGGCAGCTGCAGGTAGAGCGACGTTTTGCGGGTTGCTCGCTGTAGCCTCCTCCAACCACCTCTGCAATCCCTGGAGAGGCTCCTTGGTGGGCGTTGGAATGTGGCCCTTCTGCTCTTCTGTACATTTCCGCAATGCCACCAGATTAGGTCCCCACTCAACTGAACACAACGCATCATCGCCTGGCATCACGCTCATGCCAGCTGCGCCGAGGCCATGTCGAAGAAGAACGCGGCTCACCTGCTCTAGCTTTGTGACCGCGCTGCTGTTAGCTTCTGCCCCAATGCCGCCATCTAGTCGATACCCATAGATCGTATCTCCCTTTGGCCAATAGTTGGTCTCCAGGTCTTCAATCACATACAGCCCGCCAGGCTTAATGCTCTTCCAGAGTGCGAACAAAGAGAATATCACGTGTCTGGGTACATGTGAGCCGTCGTCGATGATGACGTCCCACGGACCCAAACTCATCAGGTGCTGCATGGTTTCCTGCTTTGATTGATCGCCGCGATGCACAGTGACCTTGGCATCTTCCTTCAATTCCGCCGTGTCTGCATCATCACCATAGGCAAGGCCGAGGATGAGCCTTGGGTTGGTGAAATACGCGTTCCACAAATTCAAAGAACTGCCATGCTTAGCACCGATCTCTATCATCGTGAGATCCTTCGCGTGGCGATAAGGCGCAAGCCACCTCTCATACACAACTTCGTAGTGATGTAGCCACCACTTGTCGGAGCCAGAGGACTTCTCGAGCTCAGCAAAAGAAGGGAGAGGCTTGTCAGGAGTGAGCTCCTACAAGGATTATAGGGGTATAGTATATTGGGGACATATTGGGATAATGGAAAAGAGAATGGAAACTACAGGGGTTATAGGGATTAAATACGGGTTTATTATTAGGGATCATAGGGTATATATTGGGGGTTCTAAAGGAATAATGGAAAAGAAAATGGAAACAACAGGGATTATAGGAGCTATAGTCTAAACTCCCAG